TGTCCATAGCACAGATAGTACTGATGGAGAAATTGTTTTACTTTTTAAATTTTATTATTCTTTTTACTCCAAAGCCTCCCTGAAACAGAAGTGATTTTGTTTCATGTCTTAAACTTTTAGCGTCTGTTTGTCTGCAGAGGTTTGGAACCAAACTCTCCAGGTTTACTTGCACTTTAAAGCTCATCTTCATTTTCCTGCTTTGTTTTTCTGTGTCTGTGACTTATGGAAAGACAAGTTGTAATTTGTGTCATTATGATTTTGTTCCTGTTTAAATAAGATAAAAAGAGATGAAAGTCACGAATGCATCAAATGTATTAGTTAAAGTTAATTTATCTGTTTATTTTTTTTTACTTGATCAACTTAGATTTAAGCTTCTAAAGCTAAAGTGAAAAAATGAGACAAAAAATAAAGTTAGGGCCAGCGGAGTGGGGAAATAAAAAATTAAAATCCATTGCCAGTTTATTTTTCTGAGTACGTAGCGTTATTTCCCATGTTTGACCAGAACAGCTACAACTCATCTTGGTGTAAAACTCAGGCAGRAAGTGCAGCAGATGAGATCTGTTCTTTTATTCCAACTCTTCAGGTTTGATGTTGACACAGAAACAAGCTGAATGAAAAATGTGTTGTGTTGAGGCTTGTGTCAGGACTCAGAATGTTTGAGCACCTTATGTTGCTGAAAGCGTCCTCAGCTCTACAGGATTTATCCTCTAGTTAGAACAAATCTTTGATTCTAGTTTAGTTCAGTTTGAATGTTTCAGCTGCAGGCAAGCTGTTGGGGGTTTGGTCCAGCGGGTTTATTTGTATGGAAATGTTGCTCTGGAGGAGGAATTTTTTATTTATTTGTTTCTTCTGACAAAGTGCAAAAGTTCAAAGCTGGTTTGTGACGGCTCGGTGCAATCATGTCCTGCTCCTCACCAGGCTGGCTGTGAAGTGTCGTAGGTCCTTGAGATTTCCAGTTTGCTAAAATCCAAAACCACACATTTCACTGGAATCCAACCAGTGTGAAGAAACACTTGTGTTCACAAGATATTCCTTTTTGTTTTTAATTATACAGAAGTTTGTATGTTTTTTTAACAGTATCAGCCTGAAAACTGAGACAGCAGATCCTGAATGATGGGACGAACTGGACCAAACTGAAAGTTTGATTTGAACTCTTTGTGAAAGAACATCTTCAGAGGAACTCTGGACAAACATTCAGTTATTTGGATCCATGAAGACAGTTGTTCCCAATGATGGAGTTGGAGCTCAAAGTTGGTCATGAAACTCTAAATGGGATCGTCAGATAATCTGCAATTATCAAGTTACATTTAAAAATGTTTGCTTTTGGCATAGTTTCACTATCATTGTTCCAATAAATGAAAACGGTAGATATAAATGAATAAAAAGATATTATGAATCAGTTGTCTCTATGTTGTCATTGTTTAACAGAAGGGGTCCCAAACCTTTGTCACAATCATTTTGTGAGTCAAGATGCATTAAAACGTTTCGTTTTGGCCTTAAGGCAGGGGTGTCAAACTCCAGTCCTCGAGGGCCGCTATCCTGCATGTTTTAGAGGTTTTCCAGCTCCAACACACCTGATTCAGTGATTGAATTAACTCTTCAAATTGGGCAGAAGCCTGTTAATTACCCAGCGATCAAAATCTGGTGTGTTGGAGCAAGAAAACCTCTAAAACATGCAGGATAGCGGCCCTCGAGGACWGGAGTTTGACACCCCTGCCTTAAGGGGATTTTTTTTTTGCGATCGCTGATTTATTAGGAGTATTTTTTTTTATAAATGTTTCATAAAGTGGTCAATGGCAGAATTGATTTAAAAGAATACGTTTGTATAATTTGTGTTTTAAAACCCTAAAAGACTTCAGTCAGTGATGATGTAAAGATGGAGAAAAGATGCTGAGTAATGTTTAGTTCTCACCAAGTCTCCACAGTGACCTGAACTGTTACTGAACTCTCCTTACACTCATCTACTTTGTGTTTGGGAAGTCTGATCTGAGAAACTCAGCTAAAGCTTTCTCTGTCTGAACACACCCTCCTCCTTGTTGAGCCATTATAAACTAATGGTTTTACTGGTGTACACCACTCATGCTGGCATGTGGACCCAGCTGACAGGAACTTTGGATTCTGCATCAGACATTTTATCCTGGGTGGGCCTTTTATATGGAAAC